TGGCTTTAATGTTAACGCGACTATACAAGATGGTCACGGTGATCACAGATCAGATGACGATGATGACGACTCAGAGTATGACGGTAACGAAGAGACTGCTCTCGAAAGCTATACTACACCTTTAGATTCAGAAGATTCCAATCAAGATGAATATATCGTTTTCAAGGAAGTCATACAAAGTAAATACTTAAAAAAATAATATTTGAGATATATATATATAAAACTGATTTCAAGATATGCATTAAAACATATTAAAATACATCTTGTGTATTTCTTATTTTTAACTAGATATTGAAAGAACCGATGTGGCCTGGTATAGAGCCTTAACGAGTCTTCTTAGTCCTGAACAAGAGAAAGCTTTACAAGAAATTATTCTTTTGGCGGATCAACGCAAAGCAGCTTTAGAAAGTAAAAGGATCGAGCAGAGTGGAGGTAAACTTATACTGCTTTTAATAGTTGAGAATTTGCATTGATATATGAGTTAATCTGCGTATTCCTTTAATCTGTATATTAATTTATTAATCTATAATTCTTTTAAATTGTTTAGGATACGTCTTTCACTCACAGACTGTGCCCACTTCATTTAACTTCGGCGGAACACCTTTAAGTCGATAAAGACTTATAATCATTTCAATTTTAGGTTAACTAAGTAAGTAAACAAATTATACTGAATTTGGATTAAACATTTGTAGCACATAAACATTACATGACTATTTTGAAAATATTACGCATTTCCTATTTACTATTTTGTGTAAATTAATTGTACATTACTAAAGCAATCTAACAAAATCTTATTTAATACGATACGACTTTAAAATTTTATCGTCATGAGATTATCGGTTTTGTGCATACTATGTTATGAAGAGACAGCAGATTTGCTACTTAGTTATCATGTGAAAATGTATATTACACATCTCTTTTACACATTTATTATAAATAACAATTCGCGGGCGCGATATTTTTTTTATTCAAATAAAATATTACTCTTCGTCTAGCAAGTTATAACAAGTTTTCTTGACAATTTAAAATTATTTTAAATTATGCTATTGAAATATTTTAACTTTAAAGAACCTTTGGTTAAGAAAATTTTAACATAGCTTGCTAGATGTATTCTCACCACACACAACACACGCACACACATATATACATGTACACATAAAATGTATATTTACTCTCGATTATTTGCCTAAATATGAAATTATTTTAACAAAAAAAATTCGCTTAGTTTATAAAATATATGTTACAAAAATTATGTTAAATTGTTGGTATAAATATATCAAAAGAAAACTTTCGAGTATGTGTATAAATTATGTTGTTTGATATTATTAACAATTAGTTCAGTAAAATATGCTGTACATTCTCCAGATCTATTTGCGAATAGCTGTTCTGCTAAAAAGGAAAAATGAAACTTGTCAAAGCTATTAGACGTAACTTGCAAAACTGTTGCTTATTAAAAAAATCTTTAGATAAGATTACTTAGATTTTTAAATAAACATTGTTTTTTTTTTTCAAGTCTTCGTTTAAATGTATATTGTATTACATATGGCCAAACATTTTTCTGCAGTTACCGATCACTTTACATAAATCCCAGCACAGCTTGCTTTATTTTGAAAAAGATAAGTTCTGCCATATTTTATGCTGTCCAAACTGTACCCTGAAGATAGAGCATGAATGGTTTAAGAAAGCACTTTGAATAGCTTCTGTAACGAAGTCTTTACAATCTTAGGTTTTGATTCTTTTATAATATAATATGAATTAATATCCATATTGTACTATAAAAGATGAACACTTTGTTGTAATACAATATGGATTAATATCCATATTATAAAAGGCATTAACAAAAACAACAAATCTAAGTAGAGCTCTTTCTTTCATGAGGTATTGCAATTACGTAGGACGAACTCGAAGCAGAAATAAATTATAAATATCAGAGCCCAAAATGATAAAGGCGTACAAAGAAGAGGTGTTCTGTGCTGTGGTTAGTGAAATGATATTACTGCACAAGAGAGTTTTATATCGAAATGCAAAAGGACGTATGTGTCAATTACGTGTCGCTTCAAAGTATAAATTGTGATCTTGTATCTAAGTCCAAGTTTGTACTAAAATGTTATTTGATAGTGAAACTAGGTTGTCAACATTTTGTTGATAAGGATATGTGCTTCTTTATGATATATACTCGACCAAATTTTTTATTCTGTTTATCGAATACGAAACTTATCTATTTTTCATATAAAGCTGCAAGAAATTGCTGTGTAATAATTTTAATCATTGATATTTACTCTAAATTCAATTTTTCTAATAAAGATTTTCTACACAGGGTGCATGCAAAAATACAGCGGATAGCGCAGAAGAAAAACGATATACATAATAGATTTTATTAATCATTAATTTGTTTGTAAATCAAAAACATGAAATTGCATATATTTAAAAACTTAGAACTTCAACTTCGATTTTATAAAGAATTCGATATAGGATATTTCAAATAAAATATTAGAAATGTTAGAAAATATTAGAAATGCGAAAAAATAAGATTCATGACTTTTTAATATACCTGGAGTATATTAAGAAGTCCCTATACATTTTATTTATTCATAATAAACATTAGTCTTAAAGATCAATATGTTTATCTTGCAATTTAAAACACAGAAAAAACGTTATAGGTTGCCACAATCGAAAATAATGATATTTTTATCTATCAATATAATTTGGTTATAAGAATTATAGTAACAGTTTATAGCCAAATTGTATTGATGAACAAAAAATATTATTTTCGATTATGGTAACCATAACGTTTTTTCCATGAAGTTTTCTTTGTGCTGATTATACGTTTAGATCTACAGAAATAGTCCTATCGCAGCGAAGGAACTTTCAACAGTTGCAAAATAAACATTCTGCTAAACGTGGCAAAAGTAAATAATTATATAAAACAATATCAATAACATAAGTAAAGGATGTAGAAATGTGTGTGTATATTATTGCTCAACATTTTAAATGTATCTGTTATAGTATAATGCGCATGTCTCTCGAAATTCAAAAAGCCAGGGATACTTTACATGTAACAGGACGATTCAAATAGTTTCTGATATTAGAAAGTTAACATAGTTATAATTAGTACATTACATAATACTCCAAATTGATAAAATGAAACATTATATATGGAAGAAAAGTTTTTGGTATACATGATAATCTTTTTCTAACATAGTAACATAAATAAATTACGTATTTCTTATATTCGCCAATTTTATTTTGCAGTACCCTGCTTTTAGATTGGCTCATTTGAAATTATGACTATTGATTTCTTGCAGTGTTTATCGGAGATATATGTGTAGCATAAAATGCGATTTTTAATATCGTATCTATTTCATAAATAGTACGACGCAATCAAATAAAGATACTATCGTTCTTTGCACTGTGATCCGAACTCGCGACTCATCATTTAGTACAGTTAAAATCTTTGCATGTAACGAGAGAGAAAGTTAATATTGATTGTATCAGTTTTTTCAAACAAGAACAAAAAAGTGCCTTGAGACGTTAACGTGCAGACGGGACCTAAATTAAAGAATACAGCAGAATAAGCTGTAGGTCGGAGTGAGGCCAGGACACTTCTCTAGTTTATAAGTTCTAGAAGTACTGTATTAAAGAATAAATTAAAATAACCGATAGAGAGAAGAGACGAAAAAGCTGTTCCTTTGCTCTTTATAGGATACGAGTCGTAACTTCTTTGTAATGAATATTTACCACACGTATATTCTCTCCGTAGTTTTTATATAATGAATAAAATAAATTATAAATAATGGTAGCGGCGGCGAGTCTTACGATAAAACATCACACATATACGCTTAAGTCTTGATATTGTATAAACTAATAAGAGGTAAGATAACTATAACTGGTGCTTTAATATACAGGTGAAGTTTATAGAAACTTCATTATTAAACTGAAAATGTAGTCTCTATTGTATCTGTCATTTATTTATTTATCCAAGACCTTTATTTCTGGAGTTTACAGTATGTTTGTGGATTAGCATTTAACTCTTTCTTACATCTGTCTAATTAAATATATTCAATAAACAACAAAATATACGCAATCATATAGTAGTTTGGAATTCACACACACAATCGTCGATTATTTTTTAAATAAAAAATAAAAGTTCAGAAAAATAGTAAGTAATATTAAATTTTATTACATGATTTCAACGTGTGTAATTAAAATGTAAAAGACAAAAAATTTTTTTCACACTTGTGTATAAATACACTATCATTATTTTTCATTTCTATTTTCACTAGCGATTATACAAATTTACTATTATGAATTCCAAAATGCCTACAGATTGAAGAGATATATATGGTGTTATCTAAATATTCCGATTTATACATCAATATAAGAGCAAATAGCAGAAAGAAGTATCGGTGGCACATTTTAACACACTTCGTTATATAAGTATTTCTGTGATTCTTGCATGTATCAATTTTTCTAAACTACATTGAGATATGCTCAATTATTTTATATAGACTCTGTACAAGCGTGACGTTGAAAATATACTTTCCAATATTTCTAGTAATTATGAAGTATATAATAAATTAAATTTTGTAGCATAACAAATCTCATGATTTTATTGTAATCTCGTAATTATTAGTGACTGCTGTAAGGTTTGTACTTGTACATAAAGCAAACCAATTTCTTCGCTTAGTGTGAAATAAATTTTAACTTTTCTCGTAAAAAATAAGACATCGAATCGTTATTTTTACATATATCAGAAAGAGAGCTGTTCCGTCGGGTGTAAAAATATGCTGTTTGCGAAAATCCAAACGAAACATTTGCAGTTTTGTAACAGCCTTATATTCCATTCTCAGTCAAAATACATAAGTTACTTGTACATATATTTAAATGAAAAGCAGATTTTGATAGATGCTACGGTGAATTATTATGAAAATGGGTTGCACCCCTTAGAAAATAAATATTTTTATAAATTAAGGTACCTATAAAAATTGCAAAACAAGTTTAAAAATTCAGGATCCAAAAATTTTCAATTTCGGGTCCAGAATCGTAAATATATGGAACACAATTAAATCACATCGTAACATCTATTATCTCTGCCAAATGTCAAACTATAATTCTACGAGCCCCTCAACACTGCACTTCAAATTCACTAAAATAATGCCATGGCCAATAAACATTCTTGGTAATTCATCGAAAACAATGAACGCGCGATGCATTCAAATCGCCCGGGTTTTTTGCGCTAAAAAAAATATGTCTCCAATTAAATGTATATAGGCCTGGCAAGACACAAAGAAAGTAAATATGTTAACGTTATCACGCAAGTGACAATGAGGACACCATGCGGTCCTACATTCATTCCATAGTTTAGGATCTCTTCACCTACAGTGAGTCCTTGGAGAAGCGTGTACAGTATTGACGGTGAGGCACTGTATCACTTGAGACACCGTTCAAAATAATAGGATCCTACATAACCACCTCTCATCGCTTTCGCTACATTTTGTTCGAAAGCCCTTCTGTTGTTTTGTAGAACTTCAGCTGCATCCTTATTTAATGGATCTTCAGGATTTGGTTCCTGCCGAAACATTTATTCCTCTTAGTTCAAATAAAAAACAAAGTCAAATTCTATATACAGAATTTTGGTAATAAGAATCTCTTCTAAAGTTTTATATACATATATATGTAAAAATTTAGGATATATATATAATATATATACAGGGTGTCCTGTAAAGACCCGAACAACGCTTAAAGCGAGATTCCTGAGATTATTTTGAGACGAAAATTCTAATACCAAAATGTTGAGGCTATAATAACTTTTGAATTATAATTGGTTAAAAATAGTGTGTAATTCGAAAACTATTATAGCCTCGATATTTTCATTATTAGGATTTTCATCTTAGAATGTTCAAAAGAATCCAAAAATAATAATAGAGGCTATAAAAGTAAAATGGTTTTTTACTTATAAGCATTTAAAGTTAGCTTATAA